TTCCCCTCTCTCTCTATCCGCTTCCACCTCTCTCTGTCCTCTTCCCCTCTCTCTCTCTATTCTTTTTCCCCTCTCTCTATCCTCTCCCCCCTGTCCTCTTCTCCTCTCTCTACCACTCGCACTGCTTCTTTCTTTTCTCTCTCTATCATATTCTCTCTTCCTCTTCTCCCTCTATATATTCTTCCCTCTCTCTATCTCTCTACATCCCCCTCTCTCTTTCTTTTCCCCTTTCACTCTCCCCTCTTCAGCCCTCTCTCTTCCTCTTCTTCTCTCTCTTTGTCTCTCCTCTCTCTACCCCTGTCTCTCAAAGGAAGGGTTTCACTCTCCCCTCTTTTTTTTTTTTTCGCCCTCTTATCATCTCTTTCTCCCTGTTTATCTCTCTCTCTATTCACATGCATAGTTATATTTAATGCCAAACTGTGGAACATTCTGGGCAAAGCTATAACAGAGATAATTGGGATACCTGCTGCCAGAGAGATTACACAGTGTACCTTTAAATTATTTCAATTCAAATTCTGTATTTACTCATTCCGATAAATCACTGAGTCTGAATTTGAGCTATAATTCAGATTTGCATGTGGTTTTTGGCTCCATATTCTCTATTGTCAAACTGTTTACCGAGTCAACACCCAAAATCTCACTTCAGCATAATAAAAAGAACCAAAAACAGGTTAGCGTTAGAAACAGGAAGCATGAATGAGTCAAAATGATAGTGTGTGATCAGGGAGGGGCTTAATCCTGGGTAATGACCAAACTCGTACAGACAGACCCTTGTAGGACGAGTTAATCCAGTCTCTTTTTATGTCACTGTGAAGGCATGTCTCTGGGATCAGTTTAAACTTCCTGTACGGGCGGCTATTTATCACATCGTGGTAATAACATCTGTACAAACTAAAAATCATGCAGATCTGCCTTTCTCATGAGGACAAAAATCTGAAAAAGTCAACATTCAACAGTCGCAAAATGTCCTCTTTTGATCGTTAAACCATGTTATAATGCTGTGACCTCATCAAAAACATACCTGGAATTATGTTTTGTTTCATTCCTGCTCGAGTAACGTTGCATGATTAATCTGTCTTCATCTTCAAACCTCAAAATGCTCTGTTCCACGTTAGTAGTTTTCAAGTTAACAGCTACCGTTTACATTTGTTCAGTAGACATGAGCAATTCTAAGACTGAAATCAGATCCAAATGATTCTAGTGAAGGTGTATGGAGTTTAAAAACACAGTGGAGCACTTACTTTATTATCACGTGATGAACAAAATGAAGAAAAGAGCCTTAAAATTTGTGTGTGAATGAAACAAAACACAACTCCAGATATGTTTTTGACGAGGAAACATTATAACATCAAAAAATTGTGTAATATAGGCTCTTTAACTTAAATTTAAAGTTAGATTAGGTTTATGGTTTAGGTAAAGGTTCGTAGTAACTATATTTAAGATAAGGAAATGAATGTATGTCAATGTAAAGTCCCCAAACAGCGTGGAGCCCCAACATGTGCTTGTGGGTGTCTTTGTTTACTGCGAACATGCAGAGTGAGCTGTAACTGCAGCTGGGGCGTAGCTGTTAAGATTTTTCTCAAATGAATCATAATTTCTGTCACATTTACAGCGCACAACACCACCGATTTGTCTCCATGGAGATGTTATTGCTTTGCCTGGAATGTTCCACACTACGGCATTAAGGCAAGGCGTGGCGGGGCAAGTTTATTTATATAGCGTTGTTCATACATAAACTAATTCAAAGTGCTTTACAGAATTAGAAAGACATTAAAATCACAATACAAGCTAATCAAAACATAAATAATCATCATATGGGGAGTAAAAGCTTTTCAATAAAACGCGCGTAAGTGCGTCTATCGCCATGGAAACAAGCAGGTTGCATCACCAGGCCAAGATCTGTGGAGAGGTAAGCGCGTTCACGGTAAGAATGGATGTTTTTCAAGGTATTTTTGAGGAATAAAAAGCAGGAAATTTAATGCCATATTATAAAACAAGAGCCCCCCCCCACCTGAAATGTTACACAGTGCAACTTTAAAGGGCCTATATTAAACAATATGCTCACATTATAAAATTGTTTCCTCATCAAAAACAGACCTGGAGTTGTATTTTGTTTCATTCACAAATATTTAACCCTCTATATTTAAGCTGAGTTCTTCTCTCAAACAGAAAACATCCTGTTCCACGATGTGATGTCATGAGGTGATACAGGTGTGCATCCACTGTGCATTTTTTTATTTATTTATTTATTTATTTATTTAACTCCACATCTTCACAAGAATCATTTGGATGATTTCAGCCAGACAGTCTCTAATGAACTGAAGGTAAAAAGTAGCTGAACTACCACTTCATGACATCACAAGGTGGAACAAAGCATTTTGATTTTTGGAGATTTAGACAGACTAATAATACAGGGAAGCAAAACACAGCTCTGTATATTTTTGAGGAGGTTTTGTGTAATGTAGGACCTTTTAGTATTTGTTTCGTTGTTTCTATTCTTTTTTTTTCCATTTGGTGCATATTGAACTCCTGTTACACAAACACAGTCATTTATAAGCAAGGTGGTTGAAGTGTCCTGCCCAAGGACAGGAACATTATGCCCTGAGCTCAGGACTGAACCATTAATTGTTGGGTTGATGTTTGTTTGACTGGAGCAACAATAGCGGATTGTTCTCCCTGTAACGAAATGGAAACCGGATCAAATCTCACCAGTGTCAGGATGGTGCAACAAGTCACTACAAGTTAGCGACTGAAACAACATTAGCAACTGATATGTGCTCTGTTTTTGTCTCCATGGAGTTGTTATTGCCTTGGCCTGGAATATTCCACAGTATGACATTAAACATATCTATTTTAATGAGTATAATTAGATGACACCACCAGGTAATATTTGTGAAGAAGCAAGCGTATTCACTGTACCAGTGCATGTTTCTTCCAACTATTTTCCAATCTTGTTACAATAAAGCACATTTATTTGAATAAACAGTAGTGATGTCAAATGCCATACTGTAGAATATTCCAGGTCACCATGGAGAGGCTATTCCAGGTCACCATGCGGAGGCTTTTCATAAACAGTGGCCTATATTTATATTGAGAAGGCAGATTAAAGGGCCCATGTTATGCTGTTTTCTGATCTATGTTATAATGTTGTTTCCTCATCACAAACAGACCTGGAGTTGGGTTTTGTTTCATTCACACATTCACACATTAAGACACAAAACCTGAATATTAAGGATGAGTTCTTCTCTCAAACAGAAAATGCACTGCTCTACCTTATGATGTCATGAATAATACAGGCAGTGTTGGGAAGGTGACTTTTAAAATGTCTTCCCTTACAGATTACATACACCAAAATATAGTTTGCAATGTAATCCATTAAGTTACTTAAAGTCAGTAACGTAACCTTAATATTTTGGATTATATGATATTGTTATGCTTTTTAACACTACATGAATGTAGCAAGCACATCCTGAAAATTCTTGTTAAGTTCTCTTCAAATTCTCTGTTGAGCCCAAGTCTCCATTAACAGACATTTGTTTGCTGTAGAGAAGCAAAGACTAGGATATGTTAACATAACTTAAATTATTTAGTCCTGGTTTGAGTCCTGGTTTAGTTCAAAATGTGAAAACAGGAACATATCGCTATGTAATCAATTTATTTCAACAAAGTAACTATAATCCAATTACCACTCATTGAAACAGTAACTATGACTGAATACAGTTACTCATAATTTGTACTCTGATTACTTAATGCTCGTACATGTAATCTGTTACTCCCCAACACTGAATACAGGTGCTCCACTGTGTTTTTAAACTCCAAACATCTTCAGTAAAATCATTTGGATCATTTCAGCCCTGGAATTGCCAATCTCTTCTAAAATAATCAAAATGTAGCTGTACGTTAACTTGAACACTACCACTACATGACATCATAAGGTGAAAAGAGCATTTTGAGCTTTTGAGATTTAGACAGACCAATAAACCAGAATTACGCAAACATATGTGAATGAAACAAAACACAACTCGGGTATGTTTTTGATGAGGAAACATTATAACATGTCTTAGAGCTCATGAGAGTAAATTTTGTCTAGTATAGGTCCTTTAAACTGTCCACTCACCCCTAATAATTTAGTTGAGTAATTAAAAAAATAAAATAAAAAAATAGGTCGACCACTGACAAAATAATTGACCAAACAACTAAATAACTAACGCTTTAATCCTATTCATAAAAATATTTCTCAGGGCATACAAGTGGGAGATCCCTGGGAAAGTAAGTAACCTTGTTTTGTATTTGAAGTGCACTGCCCCCGTGTGGACAAAAGCCTCCATTTCCTCTCCGTGTAGAAGTGATCTTTACATCTGGAGAGAGGGGGAGGACGGGGAGAAATCAGATTACACTTTTTTTCTAAATATTCTGAACAGGAGGAGGGTGAGAAAGAATCCAGACTAGGCTTTCTCATCCGGTCCGCCTCTGTTCCCAACTCCCACTGCGGCGCACGAGATTCAAGAGCAGGAGAGTCGTGTCTGTCTGGGGCGCACGGGTGACCCACATCCACAGTATAAGCCCACTCCCCCCGAAGCGTCATTTACGTCAGACTACAAAGTACCCACCATATTCTTTAATAGTCTTTACATAAAAGTTCACCGTTAAAATATTATTAAAAAAAGATGCCACCAGCTGTTACCCGCATATGCAAAGGATGCGTGGGCACTTCCTCTAGATTTCGAAAAACCCCTTTATTTTGCCAGCCTGCTTCTTGTCTCAGCGCTTGCATTTTTGTTCCATTTTAGGGGGATACCAGTTTACAAACTTTAAACTGCATTGTTATTAGTCCAAAATCACCAGTTTTTGCGCAGTAGGACACAATAAGTGAATTTTATCCGTGCGTAAAATGTGCCAAAGTGTACGCAGCACTTAAATATATTGAGTAGGTTAAAAGTAGTATTCATTTCTTTCCCCATGTTTTAAAATGGTACGTTCCACTCCCTGCATTTAGCCGCCGTTGTTGTACGCGATGCTACTGAACAGATATGTCGCGATAGAAAGTCCGCTTGCACATAGACGTTTAAGCCTCGAAAAGATGCTTAATCACGATGCAAAATTAACCAATATACGAAAGCAACGCATGGGACAACTTTACGCAACTAGCTGCAAACTTTAACAGCACCAACCTCACATCACTTCCAGCAGTTAGCATTGTTTTATCTACTACTATAGCCACTGCTTTAGATTTTTTATTTTTTTTTATATTTTCGTGGAGCAAGTCTGATGAATTCACCGAAAAAAGAAACAGACGATGATGTATCCGTGAAAGATCCGGTGAAATATGGCGAACTGGTCATTCTTGGGTAAGTCTTACACCAATTAAATCACTACAAAGCATTTCTGTGGGAACATATTAGCGGTTTTAAAGCAAACCGCCCCCGTTTGGTCACGAATTGTGCGTAAAAACAAAATGCGTAAATGCTTCTTTAGCCGATTTCTTGATGTTTTGCCAATAGTAATTTCATTGTAGTAAGCGCTTTATCCTTGCTTACCCCGTACTACAACCCTCATATGTAATTTCCCTTCAAACTTATCAAATATCTCGCATCCAAACTGTATCTTTAACCCAATTTACGTGACGTTTGATGGCAAAACGTGTCCAAATCTGTGTAAATGCAGAGCTAGTACGGATGTAGGCGCTTTTCATCAATGGTTGTAGCAATGCAACCCAATGATGTCATACTATGCTGGGTATAAAAGTAGCGGTAGAAATGATATCACTGTCTGAAAATTAGCCCAGTTCGCACATGTGTAAGACTGTGGTTTCTTATTGCTCCCATTTCAGTGTGATGTAATTGGAAAAGGGCCAAGCAATAGTAGTAGTAGTAGTAGCAGTGAAGGGTGCAGGATGTGCGGATGACAGTCACCACCAGCTCACAGCAGTAGCACCCTTGGGCGCCACTCTATGCTTAGGTCCAGGGGAGCTGAAATGCCAACACATGAAGGAGGTCAGGAGGCATTGATTAGAACATTAACAGTGAATATTATAGACAGATAGGCCTGCCACTGCAATTATTTTATGGACTTGTTGTTTAATATGTGAAAGATGGAACAATATTTTTGGGTGGTCAGTATTCATCATGTGTACTTTTTCTTTGCGATATTGGGGCATTGTAGGTTATATTTTGGCTATATGACGAGATTTAAGCCGTAAAAGATTGGATTAATTGTTCTGTATCTTATTACAAATGCAAACTATGCATTAAAGTGTTTCATTCTGCTTATGGTCTATTGCAGCTCATTATTATTATTCTAATAATAGTGTGGATTTTAGAATGGTTTTTGTGGGTTAAAGCTGCTGTGTCAGTGTCATAAAATAGTCTCAGTATTAATTGTTTAGTATCTTAAGCAATATTTCACACTTCAAAAGTGGTTAGTGTGACAGGCCTATCCAGGACTCATCCTTCCGCCTTCTACACGTGAGATACTGGGGTCCACCAGCTACTGGAGAAGCTCAGACTAGAGTCGCTGCTCTTCCATATTGAGTGGAGGCTCGGGCATTTGTTCCGGATGTCTCTTGGAGGAGGCCCTAGGGAAGACCCAGGACTGTGTCTCTCAGCTGGCCTGGGAACTCCGGAAGAGCTGGAGGAAGTGTGTGTAGAAAAGGAAGTGTGAGAGTCCCTGCTCAGGCTCCAATGAGGGTCTAGAACAGGCCTGTAAAGGCCTGTAAAGCACAGAAATGAAATTTTTGGAACACAGACAATATGGTAATGTTGCATCTCTGAAACAACAACTCTTTGATATGTCTCCCACCTTGATCTGAACGTCCATGATGTGATATTGGAATATAATTTTGATATAGCGAACGACACTACAGCTCCCATGCATAGTCAGAGTTATGGGGGCTCAGAGCTTCCTGTGAGAGCCAAAGATAACTGACCCGCTGGCCCTGCTCGTCCCTTTGCCCAGAGAGGAGAGAGGAATACTGATGAAGAGGGCCAGGGACAGACTCGTCTTTTTAAGCAGGATTAAACCAGTGACAGACTGAACTTTTTATCTCCGATCTAACCTGATTTCACAAGAGAAAGAGGAATTACTGGCCACTGAGGATTTTAAGGTTGTCAGAAAATTTTGATCTTAATCAATACTAAAAAACTAGTATAGACTATATGGGTAAAGATGGATATAGAAACAGTATAGGATAAAACTGACCTACTTAATTATTTTGTGCTGAGTTGGATTGCAGTGCATAAATAATCAATATTAAAAATAGCACATTGCTGGTTGACCAATAGAATGAGTAGGTGGGGAAACAGTTTAAGCATAGAGCGGAATTCAAGATATTTTTTATACTAATATGGCAATTTGTGCAAAAAAAAAAAAAAAAAAAATATATATATATATATATATATATATATAATATTGTCACAGGAATAGTGTTGTCACAAATATGTTGTCATAATACTAAAATTTTTATTTGGGGCTAATGAATAGACTCGAAGTTTCCAGAGTGGTCCATGGGTGTATACTAGTCTATGTGCTCTTATACTTGTTCTGATACAGCTGAAGATCATTCTTTTTTTAGGGAAGGTTCAATTTCTATCCTGTGAATGTGCTGGTTTTAGCCTCAATAGTTGTTCAAATGCATCTAGTTTTGGTACTAGTTTTGGTATCTATTAGTAGCTGGCTTTTGACAATCCTACTACACTGGAATGAGATCACAACCCTACATCTCCCTAATACAAAACCAGCATCATTCAGTTAGTACTTCATGTCTTTCCATCAGAACGTGCTGTGCTTCTGCAGATGTAGATTCATCACATTCACAGTGAGGTTTTGTGTCTCACAGCTTCAGAGCATGTGATCTGTCCACTGCTGTTGACATCATCTGAGAAACCTATATGCAGCTAATTCTAACGCTTTCACACCAAAGTGCCAACACAATCTAAACCGGGACTCAAATAGGACTAGACCGGGACTAGACCCTGGGCTAGACCCAGGACTAGACCAGGGACTACTAGACCAAGGTGTAAACTAGGACTATAGACCAGGACTGGACCAGGACTAAACCTACCTGTGATTCATGGACTAGACCAGGACCTGGACTAAATCAGATCTCTACAATGCTCCCAGCAATTTCTAACATGCACAGCTAATCAAATGCAATATGACTCAAATAGGACTAGAATGGGCCTAAACTAGGACTAAAAACAGGTCAGAACAAGAACTGAACCAGGACTGAATCAGCTTTCTGTTCCTGACATACAACTAAAATTAAAAACTTTTACACCATCTTCAACTAGGACATAAACTAGACTCAAGTAACACTAAACTGAGACTAAACCAGAACTAAGTGTGGCTAAAATTGGTCTGAACTCAACCAGGGCTAAATGAGACACAAAAATGACATAACCAGGACTAAGTATTGTTAAAACAGATCTAAACAAGAACTTATCACGAATCAGCTTCACGAATCATCCATTACTTACAGTGAATCCTTGAATTTTTATATAATACCACTATGATTTACACTAGACACAAATAGGAACAAAACTGGGAATAAACCAGCACTTAACCAGTACTTAACCAGACCTAAATATGGCTAAAACAAGAACTGAGCCAGCTCTAAATCAAGTCTCTACAATGCTCCCCCAATGTCAGCAGTAATTGTCTAAACTGCTGCTTCTTGCCATTAATATTTTATAATCCTTTATCAACAATTCTCTTAATAATTGGTCTGCAGTTTTGGCTTTTTGAGTGTCTGAGTACCACAGGATCTAAACCAGGACTGTAACAGATCTAATCAATGTCTTAAAGGGCTCATATTATGTGAGTTTTGTTTCATTCACACATGTTTGAGTAATCCTGGTTCATTAGTCTGTCTACATCTCCAAAGCTCAAAATGCTCCACTTTGTGAAGCAATAGTTTTCAAATTATCGGCTGCCTTTTACTTTTAGTTCAGCAGAGATTGACCTGTAAAAACACACTGGAGCACTTCCTGTATTACCACATCAGAAAATACAGTAACATGGACCCTTTTAATTAAGGCTTAACCAGATCTAAACTAAAGACAAAACCACGACTAACCACAAACTAAACCAAAGGAGAGATCCACTGTCTTTATTCAACCCCTTTATTTCACTTTGCCCTCTGTAAATGGCCTTGATGTAGTGCCCACCGCTAAACTCAGGGTGAAGGAGCAGAGGGTTAAATATTTCATGGTGTTTTTTTTGTGGGGCAGATATGAACTCACGCCTGTCTCACTTTGGCCCCATTTGTCCTGGTTTGTCCGGCCGACGCTGCCCCTCCCATGGGTCCAACTCATTATAATGCATTTATTATTCATTCAACCCAGAGAGATGTAGAGGGAGGAGGAATTTGTATTTCAATTTTCAGAAACTTGACCTATTTGTGTCCCTAGATACGAGCTAGACAAGTTCAAATCAAATGCAGCTTTTGATGACATTTGTAATTTAGATTTATTCTTAATTACAAATGAACTGGACAGACGCGATGGCCAAGCTGTTTATGTTTATGTAAAGTGTTGTTTATCCAATCAGAAAGCAGAATGCGCCTCACATGAGTCTCTCATTTGTGTTGCCAGTTTTAAAGCTGAAATTCAGTTGGTTTAAACCTTAAAAGAATCTTTCTGATCTGAATGGTCACTACCTAAACCCCAGAACCTGCAGCCAATCATGAATCAGTGCTAGTGTAGCCTCTACAGCTCAGGGAGGGAACGCAGGAGCTTCTGACTTGTGTATATACTACGGCTGCACGATTTTGGAAAAGCTTCCTCAGATTTGATATGCAATGAGAATCACATGACAGTATGACAAAATTATCTCTCCAAGGTGTGAGGCTCTCTCTCTCTCTCTCTTTGGCACTTCCCTAAATAGTAAAGTTTCACACTGATTGTTTTAAAGCCCTAACCCTTTCTCTCTCTTTCCCCCTCCCTGCTCTCTCCATCTCTCCTCTCTGCATCCATCCCTCTTTCTCTCCTCTCTGTCTCTCCCTCTCCATCTTTGCATCTCTTCTTTTCACTCTCTCTGACTTTCTCACTTGCTCTCTGTCTCCTCTGCCTGTCTCCTTCTCTGTCCCTCTTTCGCTCTCTCCCCTCAGCCCCCCTCTCTCCCTCTGCCTGTCTCCTTATCTGTCCGTCTTTCGCTCTCTCCCCCTCTCCCTTCTCCCTTCTCTCCCTCTGTCTGTCCTCTGTCTCTTTCCCTGGCCCCAGTTGTCCTGTGGTCAGTCTGAGCTGTTTAAAGCTGTCAGACCTCACAGAGCACAGAGCTGACTCATCTCTGCCTCTCATTCAACAAACAGACAAAATGTGGAGAAAAAAACTCCAGTGACACCAGTCTACACTCCAAATGGAACTAAAATATGATCTGTTAAGCAATTCAAAAATGATTCCAAAAAAGTCTTGAAATACAAATAGATGGAGAAGTTTGCCAGTTCAAAACGGGTATTAATATTGTATGAGTAATGTTTAAAGTTTAAAGTCCTATATTACACAGAACTGACTCGTGAGCTTTTAGCCATGTTTATAATATTGTTACCTGCTTAAAAACATACCTGCAGTTGTTGTTTTTTCTTTCAGTCACACACGTTTGAGTAATCCTTGATAATTATCATCCCCAAAAGCTCAAAATGTTTCACCTTATGATGTTATTTATTGGTAGTTTCAAGGTTAACAGCTATTTTTTAACCTCAGCTGAACTGTTTTACTGTATAACACACTAGAATAACCTTGAATTGTTGCTTTTGTTTTTGAATATTTCTGTCTTACCTTTTGTACAGTTGGGATTGTTAATAGAAAGTCTCCGATATCTGCTGGTGCACTGATGAGTGAAGCAGTTTCAATGAGGCTAAATCAATAGCTGTAACTTCAAAGTTTGTCCATTATTTATTTATAGTTTAAAGGTCCTCAAAGGAAAATTGACTCTTGATAGCTTTAAGCCATGTTAGAATGTTGTTACATCCTCACAAACAGATTCTAGTATGTTTAAAAACAGAGTGGAGCACTTTTTGTATTACCACATGACTTCATAAAGTGTTTCCTGTTTGCCTGAAGATCTCAGACTAAATATCTTGGCTTTGTGCAATAAACATGTGTGCATGAAACAAAACACAACTCCAGCTAGATTTGTGATGAGGAAACATTGTAACATAGCTCAGAAACTAACAATATAAACCCTTTAATTCCGCACTGGCGAGCTGATACAGTATTTTATGATTTGCTAATGTCAGATGCTTTTTTTTCTCTTATAATATGCACGCTGTGGTTTTGAGTCTGATCCAGAGCGTTTGATCCAGTGACACAGTGAGAGAGACAGACCCCAGCTGTTCGGATTCAAACGGGAAACTCCACTGTCCCACTCACCGCTCCAGGGTCAGGGTCCACTTATTACATTATATACCGTCTAATATCCATCTGGTGAGCTGTTAGCGTCCATAAATTTCTGAAGTGTATGTGCACTCAGTTTGGGAAGTGAAGAGGATGTCTGCCATTATTTTGAATTATATTTCCTGTCTGTAGTCCGTGTTTACATGTTTAAAAGCTGCCAGCCAGTCCACAAAGATTTAATACATGAAGAACTGCCACATGACATCCAGGACACCTTTTAATATATTAAGACAATGCAATTAATCCAATTTCAATTATGATTATGGAACTAATCAGTTACCAAAATTGTGTAATCGAGTAGGCCTTTTACAATAAGTATTATATCGACTTATCGTTCAATATATGAAAACCTGGAACAATGTTTTTTGGGGGATCGGTATTTATCATGTGTTTTCTTTGCTTACTGGGAAATGGTTGGGGTTTTTTGGCAATACAAGATCATCAGCTTTAACTTAAAGGCTCTAATTCTACACAAAATGGACTCTTATGAGCTTTCAGACTTGTTATAATGTTGTTACTGATGGCATTTTTTTATGTTAGGACAATGTTAAGGACAATCAAGCTTCATGTAAGGAATAGGAGAAAAGGTCTGTTATTTCTTAAAATTACATTAAGGAATGTTTATGGACCCCAATAGACCATTTGTTGTTGCTAAAGTTAACTTGTCATGGTACACCTTTACGACTACAGTTGTTGCTTGACCATGTATTGATCATTCTGTTTGACATGAGCCTCACACCTGTCGTCCACCACAAGTGTAAAAAACTGTCCGTTCCTGAGACTCAGTTTCTCTGTCGTTGCATGTAGGCAGTAGAGCCAGAGCTCTGTGTGTGTGTTTGTATTAAACCTTCTGAAAACGCTTTTGTGGTCCTCACCTCTTTTCTTATACAGCAACCAGAAACTCATGATATCAGTTACCTTCTCAAAAACATACCTGGAGTTGTGTTTTGTTTTATTCACATGTTTGAGTAATCCTTTATTATTAGTCTGTCTACATCTCCAAAGCTCAAAATACACTCTTCCTCCTTGTGATGCCATCAAGTAAAATTTTTAGCCTCAATTGAACTGCTTTACTCAACAATACACCAGAATAACTGTAAGTGTTTGCCTTTAAAATGTTTTGTTTTGTTTTACCCTTTGTTTAGTTGAGATTGCCACAGAAAGTCTACAATATCTTCTAGTGGTGTACCAAGGAATGAAGAGGTTTCAACAAGTCTAAAACAATAGCTGTAGCTTCAAAGTCTTGTTCTGCATAAAACCCACTAACACTGTAGTTTAGATATGTACAAACATGTTCTGAAATGAGTCTTATATTAGTTTGCCAGTTCATATTTCATTTTTATTTTTTTTTGTCAATTCTCCGGGATGCGTTTAAAGGTGCACTGTGTAACTTTTTCTGGTAGAGGGTCCACTATCTGTTTGATTCCATGTGTGTTCATGTTTTTTGTTTTTAACTTATCTACCGTATCTGCATGGAGACAAGCAGGCCACATCACAAGGCCAAGTTACAGGTCAGATCTGTGGAGAAATGGGCCCGTTCACAGTAATAATGCATGTTTTAACTGTTTTTGAAAAATAAGAGCACCTGTAATTGAACAGATACAAGATATATTTGTTTAATGGTATACTCTGAAACGTCCAAGGTACAGCAATAACATGTCCATGAGACAAGCGGATGGCAGACCCTCTATCAAAAAAGTTGCACATTTCACCTTTAAATTGTAAAGTTAGGACAGAATTCTATTATTCTATTCCAACATAAATTGCAAATTACAATCACAGTGCTTGACAACAAAATCATAATTAGATATTTTTACCAAATTATTCAGCCGTATCACCGACTTTCATTTCATCAGTTCATTCTCTTCATTATGCTGCACTTATCTCTAGGCAAATAATACGCTGAATGATTGTGATTTTGATACTGTTTGTTTCCATGATATATATGTATTATGAGATGTTTTACAGTATGGCATTTAACTAACCTGTCATTTATTCAAGTACAGGTGGTCAAAATATCTTTAAAAATGTCCATTCTCACTGTTAGTGGGGTTGCTTCTCCACAAATCTAACCTGTAATTTGGCTTGCAAGACTCCAGAGAGATTCCTAAGTGTATGGCCATACTGTGGAACTTTCTAGGCACATCTCCATAGAGACAAGGAGGTGATGGACCCTCCAGCAGACAAGTTACACAGTGCACCTTTAAGTCTCCTGTGCTGGCTTGGGTTAACCAACTGCTGCATTAAGCTTTGTCTGAACACTTTACTGCAGTGATGGCATTCACAAACTGCGATTACACTGGTGCATTATGAGGTAGTAGTAAAAACAGGTTTGTGGATATCTAAAAAAAAATATTCTATTGAGATGAATGATGATGGTGGTGATTGTTTTTCCTTTATTTTTTTGTTTGATTTTGCAGAACACTGAAAAAGTACTGACAGTATTTATGTCAGTATTAATTTCAAATCATATATTTTTGGGGAAAATGATCAAAATCTATGCTATATCGGCTCAAAAATATCTGCAGATCATATCAGCCAATGTTTTCTTCGGATTCTAAACTGTCAGTATCAGCATCTGTCATGAAAAATACCCATATTGGTTGATCTGTGATTCTGATTGTTACTTAAATATTCTCGCCACTAAATAAAGAATGGATGAATGTAGAATGGATTATAGAAATGCTATAAACAGCTTTGTCACTGGTGTAAACATGACTTATAACATTTAAATGAGTTAAATCTCTTATGTTTTGTGCAGGTACAATGGCTCCCTGCCGTGTGGGGACAGAGGGCGCAGAAAGAGTCGCTTCGCTCTTTACCGCAGAGCCAAGGCCAACGGAGTCAAACCCAGTACAGTTCACATCCTCAACACGCCACAGGACACCAAGGTACTGATCAGCATCTCACTGTTTATAATACGACTGAAAGATTTAATAAAGACTCAATTTAAAGATTCAACATAAAGGTCCTACATTATGTGAAATTGACTCTTGTGAGCTTTAAACCACGTTATAATGCTGTTACGTCATCAAAAACATACCTGGACATGTTTTTCATTCACACGTTTGAGGAACTATTTATTATCAAAGTGCTCTGTTTCACCTTGTGGTGTCATAAAGTGGTAGTTAACAGCTACCTAACTCTGTAGTTTAGATCTGTACAAAGATGTTTTGAGATGCATGTGATTGTATTAGGTTGTCAGTTCATATTTCAGGCTTTTTTTGTTGAAAATTATTGAAACATAAATCGCAATCAATTCTCATTTTCCCCACCAGTGATATACGCTTGCCCCCCTGTACTTTTATTTTCTTAATTGCTGATAAGTGTGTTTCACAATTATCCAAGTGAAGGTGTGTTTAAAAACACAGTGGAGTAGAGCCCGACCGATATATCGGCTGGCCGATATTATCGGCCAATATGGGCACCTGGAGACATATCGGCTATCGGCCGATATGCTTGCTGATATGGGCCGATATGTCACGTGGGCATGTTATACCTCGTTATAAAGCTTAGACTCTCTACATTATGTTCATTTAATCCAATTTACAGACAGATAAATGTCCTAATATGTGGCTCCGCATCAGTATTTATCTCGCATGAAATGCCACCAAAAGTTCCTCGGGACGCTGAAATGTCCCAGTTTACACCAAACTGCCAAACTGTCCTGGTTACAGACGTCACAGCTAATGAAATGTTACACATTACAGTTTAATGCAGCTTCCAGCATCAATTAATGTTCGTGTTTACAGGCAACACCTTGGTATGTTTACAGTATTTACCGGTAAGTTTAACGTCACCGTGACGTGGATGGATTTGCTCATTATAACCCATTATAACTCATGAAAAACCCATTGTCTGAAATGCAGCTGAGATGAAGACTGGCTGATGCTCGCTGTGGCTGTAGTCGTGAATGTTTTAATCTAAACCTACAGAGAACCTGATATTTGCTAATTAGCCCTGGGATAACGTTACGTCGGATGTTAGCCAACTGGCTCCACTATGTTATCTAACATATAGGTGCAATTTCCCGTTCAAAGGAGGTGTTTCTACACAATATTATACAGCAGCGTTCGGTTCCCGAATTCAAGACATTTTTACAATAGATTTTGAATTAACCCACTTGTTGGTCGCTGTTGTAGCTTCTTGTGCTATTACTCTGTTTTTACCCTCTGCTACAAACTTGAGCTGCGCAGTCTTGATCTTGATCGATGTTTCTTCTGCTCGATGAATAATGTCTGTGAAGTGATGACGTATTTTTGACAGTAAAGTTCCGTCTGTGAATTCGTATTCGTACTGATGAAAGGCGTAATCGTAAATTTTCATTTCGTGATTGTAATTCATGACGTCGTAATTTTTCAATTCGTATTCTGATGGATAAAATACACACAATATATTTTATGTACGACTGGACTCATTTGAGAGTTTACAAATATTTATTTTATGCGCAACTACAGCCAAATATGCACCGATTTCCCAAATACGCACGGATTTCTATTTTATGCGCACGAATATTTTTGACAGCTTTCTTACTCCATAGGGAGCCTGCTTCTTATTGGGAGCCGTGTTTTCTCTTTTTCTCACTTTTTCTCTTCATGCCGCATGTAGACCCGTAGTTTGACAGCAGCAGCGGCTGAAAACGAAACTTTCAGAAATCTGCGTGTGCATAGGATTAAAAAAAAAAGTGCATATTTGGCTGCAGTTCAGCATAAAATGAATAAACCAGGACTAATCTTGGGCTCGAGTGCAGGAGAGAGATAGAAACCGAGTCCCGACACTCAGTCCTGGTTCAGTTCTGGTTTAGTCCTGCTTGCAACAAAACAATCTCAAGAGTCGCTTGGGAGCCGAAAGAGCCAGCTGCTTTAGTGAGCCGAGCCAAAAGAGCCGGTTCTCCCCAAAAAAAAAAAAAAAAAACTGGAATCCCCATCACTAGTAGCTAGAATGTGATGCAAAAATGCCATTAGGCCAATCTACTGTATGTAAATATGATGTAAAGAGTCAAAATAACAATAAATGTTGCCTAAATAAACCCAATTTAGAATCCACTAGAGCCAAACCTAAGTTTTTTAATCAATTCAAGATTTACAGTGAATTTTTACATCACTAAATATATCGGTGATTATATCGGCTATCGGCAGCTCCTACTCCCATTATATCGGTTTCATATCAGCCACAACAAAATCCATATCGGTCGGGCTCTACAGTGGCGCACCTCCCATATTACCACAACACAAGTCTGTTTGAAAGAAGAACACATTGTTAAACATGTGTGAATGAAACAAAACACAATTAAGGGTTTTTTCATGTGGAAACAACATTATAAGAGGGATCAAAAATCGAAATTGAAAAAACAGTCAATTTGAATGGGCGCAATTAGCAAATTGCAAAGGAAGCTATTTTTGTAGTACCATAATTTCTTCCGCAAACAAAAGACTATCCTGTATGATTCTCCATAAACACTGTTAACCCTGTAGTTTAGATCAGTAAAAACTTGTTTTGAAATGCATGACTGATCATTGTTTAAGGTCTTATGTTATGCAAAATTGACTCCTGTGAGTTTTAAGCAGTGTTATAAGGTTCTAACCTCCTCAAACACATACCTGAAGTTGTGTTTTGTTTCATTCACACAAGTTTGAGTAATGCTTTATTAGTCTCCAAAGCTCAAAATGCTCTTTTCCACCTTGTAATGTCATGTAATCATAGTTTTCAAGTTAACAGTTATCTTTTACCTTTTGTTTAGTAGAGATTGGCAATTCTAGGTCTTAAATTACCCAAACGAGTTAGATAAGGTTTGTGGAGTTTAAAACACAATGGAGCACTTCCTGTATTGCCACATGACATGACAAGGTGGAACAGAGTGCTTTCTGTTTGAGAACAGTGTAAATATGCACAGTCTGTGTGCTAAACATGTATGGATGAAACAAATCACAACTCCATTTATGTTTGTGAGATGTGAGGAAAGCACACTATAACATAGATCAGAAAATGGCATAACATGTGGCCTTTAAACTGAGTCTGTGAATTTTAAAATAAGTCTTACAGTAGTTGTGAGAAAACTGTCCTGCAAATAGTTTTCTAAATAGTTGAGCTTTTTGCGTGTGTAACTGTTGCTAAGAGGATGTTTGCCCGCTCACTTCCTGCTTTGTCTTCCTGCTTTTCATCGCTCCAAAGGAAGAGTGACTAAAGCTGATGCACTGAAATGTCTTGGTTTCTATTGTTGAATTTCTATGAGCTATTGTTTCAGACGTGAATAGAGTTTTTATTGTCAGACATGGGACAGTGAACAATGGTTTATTCTGAGAGGGTGGTATGGAGAGGAACATTTCGATTCCATTTAGTTGTATTGCCAAATGTCATGGCAGAAGTTTCAGAGGGTTTTAAAGAAGTTTGTGGACAGAGTTAATTTATTGCAGATGGGGTCAGCTGAGGTCCAAAGTAGTGTTTTGTTTTGTGTGTTCAGACTACACTTACACTTTATTTATTAAAGGGCCCATGTTACAATATTTTCTTATCTACAGTATGTTATAATGTTGTTTCCTTATCACAGACATACCGGAGCTGTGTTTTGCTTCATTCACACACGTTTTACTGACAAACCCTGCATATTTAGGCTCAGTTCTCAAACAGAAAACACTCGAGTTCCACCTTGTGATGTCATGTAATACAGGTAGTGCTCCACTGTGTTTTAAACTCCATACACCTTCAATGGAATCATTTGGATAATTTAACCTGTAACTGCTGATCTCTACAAAGCAAATGGTAAAAGGTGGCTGTTAACTTAAACACCACTACATGACATCACAAGGTGGAGCAGAGCATTTTGAGCTTTTTGACTAGTAATGCAGGATTACTCAAACCCCTGTGCATGAAAATGACTCAACTCCAGGTATGTTTTTGGGGAGGTAACAACATTTTAACATGGCTAAAAGCTCACAAGAGTCAATTTTACATGATATGGAACCTTTAAGCCTGGTCCGGGTGAGAGTAGAGTTAATGTACTGTATTTACACATATGTACTGAAGTCCATGAAAAACTAGGTCAGGTAGGTTTAATACTTTGAATTTAATTTTGTAGAGGACTAGTCTAAAGGGATTAAACAAAAACTGATACGATATAGGAATTCACAACGCAATATTTTATGCAACGCAATATCTTATTTATTGGTTTTCCGTAGGTCTCAGTCCAAAAGAATACTCACATACTCAGACACTGACTCTTAAAAATAGCATACTTGAGAAATGAATCTCAACAATGATCATTTTCTGTTATTACATCTTTCATTGTTTCTTGTCGTTTCAGGCGGTGCACAGCAGGGGGCAGCACAGTATCTCCTTCACACTCTCCAGAAACCAGACTGTGGTGGTGGAGTATTGCCATGACAACAACACAGACATGTTCCAGGTTAAATATTACAAATAAAGTTAGAGAGTTAGAGACTTCAGTAGTATATACCCTATAGATTGTATTCATTTTAACAGCTATTAAAACATGGTTTATTCAGTCAGCCACACCCAAAATATTCACTTAAGTAATGCTATTTAAAGACTGCAAGCTATTTTAGTTGTGTGAAGTCAAATGAAAGAAGTATTGATTGTATTGAAGTACTGATATCTGTAGAGCAATGTTCAGCAGTTACCATAGTGACAAACTGCACTCATTGACAAATACAGCCCAAAAACAGTTAGCATCACATCCCCTGCTGCAATATATCAATTTTCAACTATTGTATAAAAACCTGACTTAGCTGGATGTTTCACCTTATATGAGCTCCAGAAAGTATTGGGCTTTTCGACAGACTTCAAACTTAAAGGAGCTTTATGTAGCCTGTGCCCTAACAGGTTTTTTTTGTTTGTTTTTTTAAAGATACTAAGATCAGAAGTGAACTTGGGTTGCCAGTGCCTAAACCTGCATATAGAAGACACATACACATTCTCATTCTCAGTATATGGACAGTCCATGCCTCACTTAAACGCTCAGAACTTCCAGAATTCCCTCACTGAGCTGCAGAGGCTGCACTAGACACCAAACAACAAATTATAACATAAATACTGCATATAATTTTAAGATGGACTATTTGATGATATTAAAAAGCATTTCTTGTCTTCCTTCATAGATCGGCCGGTCGACAGAAAGCCCCATTGATTTTGTTGTGACGGACACTTCAGGAGGAGGGAAAGAGAGTGAGGACCCTTCGATCGCACCCAGCACTATCTCACGCTTCGCCTGCAGAGTCGTTTGTGAACGAAACCCACCCTATACCGCTCGTATCTACGCCGCCGGGTTTGACTCCTCCAAAAACATCTTCTTAGGGGTAAGGAGGAGGGGTTATTGTTTGTTTTGATGGCACTTTTTTTTTTTGTCTTTTTTCACGTGTCCCATACATTTCTGAACAAATCTGTACACTAGGGCTATACATAATAAATCCTAGAAAGAGACAAGGATATATATTACCACAACAACTGACAAATTTGACAATTAAAACTGTTATTTCAATTTGGTTTCTATGAATAGAGGAGTATACAATGAAAGTTTTAGTCAAACTTTGAAAATCTGGTGACTGAAACCTTGTAGATTGTGAGTATTCACAAATAAAGTGTATTATTTACCAAAAAAATATATGTATTATGATTATCAAATACACTCTTGTCACACAATAGTCAATTAGTCACAATTATTTCTATTTCTATTTTCAATTTAATATTCACTACGGAAATGTAGTTCATTCTCTGGAGCAAAAATTTGCAAGAATTTAGTTTCGTATTCTTTCAAAAGAAAAATGTCTTATGTTTGATTTATTGCAGGAAAAAGCAACTAAATGGAAAAACCCAGATGGTCACATGGACGGTCTGACTACAAATGGTGTCCTGGTGATGCATCCCGAGGGGTTTCCTGATGATCCGAAGCAGGGGCTGTGGAGGGAGATCTCAGTGTGTGGAGACGTGTACGCTCTGAGAGAGACACGGTCCGGACCCAGCCGAGGAAAACTGGTGAGGACTCAAAGCAGGACTCATGTATCCTATTTATTTTTATACTATGTTACAGAGAAATGTTGCCAGAAACTATATATAATAATAGCAGAATGAAGGCCCAGCTGTGGGCGTGGACCAGGGTCATGGCTTTATTCATGTCCAGCCACATTATATCTTCTTGTCTTCTCCCGCAGGCGGAGGGTGAGAGCAGTGCATTGCGAGATGGTTCCCTGGTGGATCTGTGTGGGGCGACTCTTCTGTGGAGGACGGGGGAGGGGCTGCTCAGGGCTCCGACCCTCAGACACCTGGAGGCTCTGAGGCAGGAGTTGAACGCCTCCAGACCCCAGTGTCCTGTGGGGCTCAGCACACTGGCCTTCCCCAGCCTCCCACGCAGCCACAGGTGAGAACAGTTCAACCGGACCAGTGTACAGACAGAAATATGAATATGAATGTGTAACCTTTAAGGCTCTTACTGGTAATTCATATGAGAAGCCCAAATCACAAAAAATGCAGAAGAAAGTGACCTTTGTGGTTTATTCTAGCACAGCACAGCATATCCAATCAAAATCAAATTGGCATAAATGTCACACAGTCACAAAAGCTGCAGTTATTTAGGTAATAGAATGTCTTCTGCAAAGAACAAAATACCTTTATAGAAAAATCCTGTAGTAATCTCTAATACTTTCATTTTAGACCTCTCCAAACATGTTCTGAAATTATTATTATTTTATCAGTTCATTCAGTGTTCTCTTAAATGTTAATGCTCCTGAAGTTCTTTACAATGTGCACACTGAACAGAATACTACATTTAAACATAAAACTCAAATATAATTGCTCACAGTATTTGCGCAAAAATTTTAAATTGCAATTAGGTTTTTTCCAAAATCTTGCAACCCCAGTTTTCTATCTATCTGGGACTAGATGTCATTTAGTCTAACAATGTTATTTCCTTGATAAACTCGTCTCAGTGAAGTCTGTAAATCTACATAAAGCATGTCAACATCTCTTTCATTTACACCTGCCACAGCCTGGAGGAGCGACAGCCCTGGGTGTACCTCACATGTGGTCACGTCCACGGGCGCCATGATTGGGGTCAGAGGTCAGAGGGCGAGGATGACCCGAGGGAGAGCGACGGCTCCACAGCACGTAGAGAGTGCCCCCTGTGCCGCAGTGTGGGTCCCTACGTCCCGCTGTGGCTGGGCTGTGAACCGGCCGTGTACGTGGACGCCGGGGCTCCCACTCACGCCTTCGTCCCCTGTGGTCACGTGTGCTCGGAGAAGACGACGCGCTACTGGGCAGATACTCCTCTCCCACACGGGACTCACGCCTTCAGACCCATCTGCCCCTTCTGCTCCTGCGCGCTCAGCACCCCGGGGTGGACCAGACTCATCTTCCAGGGACCCATCGACTGAAGCCACGGAGCAAAACCACTTTCACAGCTACGCACGCCCAAGCTACAGTCAACACGAGGATAATGTTACACGTGAGACAAGTTCCCATATTAAAGCTGCTGCCTAATAAGATGAGAGCATCTTTAGTTATACCAAAATGGGGAAATTCTAGTGTTGCAACTCAAAGTTCAAGAACAACAGGAGAACAGGTTATTACAATCAAAAATCAAGATAAATGAATATAAAAAATAGACTTAAAGCTACCATCTGTGAGTTCTTTTCACCCGTTCAGACTCACCTGTGCTCTCTGGTCTTCTTCTGTCAGGACAAAGCTGGCACACTGTCAGGCAGAAGTAACTTAAATAGCATCTAGTGGTGAGATGTGAGAATACAACAGGGGCAGGTCAACCAGTCTAATTACAGATTATAGTTTTAAATCTAATGTAAATATAATTAATAGATACTTTTAATTTCACTTGCATAGAATTAAAATATAGACTACAACTACTATTATGTACAATAGGCTCTTATGTTATGTAGTACAGCATATGGACAGAAAAAGGAGAAAACTTGAATACCAAAGTACAGCGCAATATGGGAACTTTAATCATATAATCTAATGTACATGTGTTTTATGGTCTGACTATTGTCTTGAAAGTAGCTTGGGTCTTTTACAGTCCTTCTCCTGTTCATCACTCACTGCTTATAATATTCAATACATCCAGTAGTACTGTATTTTACATGATACCAAATCATGAATCTGAGTGAGTCTGCACTTTTCACACTGCAAAAATATACATCTACATGAGTTAAAATGCTAATCACAAATTGAGTACTTTTGATTTATCTGCATAGTTCTAGTAGCTTTTTTAGCATTATTTTCTTTTTAAAGGGCCTGAACATGATTTTTTTTATTTATAATCAAGATAAATGCTGTTTAAAAGCTGCTATATAAGAAACAAAAATAGTAAAATTTAATCTTTTACACAGCATTTTCTCTGGTAATAACTAATACAGAAGCTAATCAGGCATATTGTTGCTAAGAATTATGGGAAACCAACTGCCTGACACTATCTTACACACTTGATCACTGTCATGGTGCATTTTCAAGAGTGACAAAACGCACATAGAAGGATGATTACTGCATGACCAAGGGCGGCGCTTAGGGGGTGCCAAGGTCTTCAATGTGGGTGCTCACTTAATATGCAAATTTAGAGCCTTTTTTACAATGGAGTGTACGCCCAACCCCTACCATGTTTACTTTACTGTTTTAAATAAGTTTAAATGTAGTGAGCCCCTTGTAGTGAGCCCATTTTAGGATATTTTTGGTCTAGGTTGAATGTACTATGAAAATGGGGCAGAAATCATTTGGGAGGCTATGGGGTCCATTCTAGGGGGGCTGGTGACCCCCTGGCCCTGTACATGAAAAGTTTAAATTAGCTTAAACTAAAACATGTCTCTGATTCGTGATTTGAAATCAGGTGCAGGCCCTTGAATTCTACCATATATTTAGCTATTACAGTAAAATTACACTTGCAATAACATGCATCCAAAAGCGTCCAAATTAGTCAAAACTAATTTAAGATTCATTTTAACTCATGTAGATTTGTTTTTGCAGTGCATTTGGTGTTTGCCCTACAGTAATCACACTTAAGCCTTAACCTATTCATTCATTTCACCATCACACATTAGAAGTTTATGAATTGACATCTACTAAGCATTTCCTCATTATAATGTTCAACATACGCACTTCAATTATTTTCAAGAAAGCACCCACATATTTTCTATAGTGTCTTTAAATAATCTGGTGATATATATATATATATTTGTATATGTTCTGGACAGTATTATATTCTTATGATAGATGAGAGAGAGAGAGACCAGATTTTAATGCTTCCATCCATGTACCGTTGGGATGCTATAAAATATGCAGGCTCATCTTGTTTTAATCTATGCACTTGCAATGCCCTCTTCTAATATTGGTTTCACTGAGAAAGCTGTAGTGATGTGGTAACTTTATGTGGTAGTTTTTGAGACTTTCTGGCCCTAAGAGGCATTTAAAATGTGCAGGTTTTCAGAGGCGATGCATGGACTGAACCAGGACTAATCCCGAAAAAATAAGAACTAAGTAATTCACGGAGATGGTTTCGCTGCTAGAAACTTCTTGACAGTTATGACATCTGTATTTTCATAGTACCAAACCAGAAACTTTCCAAAGTGCAGTTAAAAATCTCATAAAGTTTTATTCATCTGTTAATGTTCTGATCTGATACCCAGTAATACTATAGAAAGTATTGTAATATAAGTCTGATACCAGTACCAATGGGTTTTGTATTAAACTTTACTACTATGAAGAATACAGCAATCACGCTTCACCCCAACGTTATCTGTTATAAAAATAAAAAAAAAAACAGTAAATACATTTTAAATAAATCTATATTTATCTGATCTATATCTATATTTGCGCATGATGAGTACTTTTTGTCGTATTAGTACATCTGTCACTACCAGGCCAGTTTAAAACACAGAGTTCACTTCAAACCGATACTAAAAAGATGATTTACTGCTCAGATTTTTTTAAAGTCCTGGTTTACATTTTAAGTTACGATACATTTTAACAGTCAATATTAGCAGAGGGCACTGAAGCACTCATACTGTAAGACCATGTGTGTCTTAAAAGCTGCAGACTCATGCCGTAGCACTAGCACTGATGCACCACTGGGAGCACTGTAGAGCACACTGTAAATGAATATTTACATGAGTTAAAATTACTTGAATTCAGAATCTTGACTACAGACATTTTTACTAGATTAGTTTAGATTAATTTGTTTAACTTGAGTTTTTAATGTGTTATGTTTAAGATTTCTTTGAAGCTGCACTATGTAACTTCTTGTCTCCATGGAGATGTTATTGCTTTTCCTAATGTTTGTTTCACAGTATGGCATTACATTATCCTGTTCAAATGCATTTTCACTGCTGGAAAAATTGCCCTGTGGCGTTACTTGCTTGCGTCATGGAGATAGATGTCGATAGATGCCTTATTGTGGAATATTCCAGGCAAAGCTTTGGCATCTTCATGGAGACTCTTTGGTGAACCCCTCACCTGAAACGTTACATTGTGCATCTTTAAAAGAGATTCAGAATTGCAACTGTATTGATAACTTAATAAGAGTGATGTATATTGAGAAACAAGTCAGAAACATATCAAGAAAAGTGAAATGAACTAGTCAAAATCACTCAAATCATTTCTTCAGAATTCACATGATTTTAACTAATGCAAATGTTATTTTTAGTGTAACTCATTGTTAGTGAGTGATGAACAGGGACTGGTGTTAAACCGGGTCAAAACTTCAGATCACTCCAAAGCAATAACTGCACTCTGGTGAATAAGCTAATCCTGCGCTAACCCTGCGCTAACCCGCTGAACCTACACTGAGGAGTGAAGCGATCGGCTGCAGAGGAGAGAGTTTCCGGGTTAAGGGCTCAACCAGAAGTGTGTTCAAGAAAACGCATTAACTTTATCAGACACTACCAACGTGTGAAGTTACCAAAGCGCTAAACCTCAAAGAGAGACCACAAAAATAATCACATTTTAGTTTTGATTTTAAAGAGGGGGTATTTTTGTGATTGCTCAAACATGCGTAAATGATTCTGAAAACCGCTTCAGGCTTGTGTTTGAGGGAACATTAATATTTGGTAGAAAGCTTGAAAAGTTTATTTAGAGTAATACTCCCTCTTGCCAATGCCAATGTTTATGTAGTATTTGAACTCACACTTTGACTATTCTACAATACTCAGTCACTCCTCATTCATAGTACTTGGTGCTTGTAAACTACTTCTGGAGCCACAGGTGCCATGGGGCACACTGACCAAAACATGGCTGCTAATAACATCTATGACCTCACTAACCGTCATCAGTCTTTACATCTCACTTGTGGAAAAATGAATTCAAAATATTTTATTTTTGACAAAATTAAATGACTTATTTTATAACCTTTTTGACTAAATGTGGTATTTAAACTTGAAATAAGTATCTGCCTACATTGTAACATGCAATAATCACATATATCCAGGCTTTCTAACCCAAACCTTAACCTTACAAATTACTACAATGTTATTATATGTAACATGTACTGTAAAAGAAACTTTAAATAATAAAAGCCATGAGTATTTAAACCAAACAAACTAGGTTACATTAAAGAGACTAAACTAGTTAATTTTACTCAAATTTAATATTTTTGTAGTTCAGGCAAGGTGTATGAAGTGCCTTGCCCAAGGACGCAAGAACAGTATGCAACACTACCCTCTAGTGGTATGTTCGAAGTGATGGTTTAGGTCTCATCTTTACTAGAACATTAGAGCCACAGTTAAAAGTCCATTCATAAATTCATTGTTCAGATTGCTTTGAACACACTTCTGGTTCCGGAAATAAACAGGGTCTGTGTTCTGCGATCGTTTGACCGAAGTGTAACCTCAACAGAAACTTACTTTTTCTGTTTTCAAAAAAGACTATTTTGTTAGGGATTTTATTGTGGGATGGGTTTATTTTGAGGGGCAAATGGGTGGGTCCTTTTAGATGTTTTAGTGTTATAAATACTATTTTTCTAACTGATTATTGCTTTAGTTTCCTGTTGTTTTCTGTATGATATTATTGTGTGGTAGAAGTAGGAGAGTTTGTGAGTGAGTTGCCAACACTGTGTCAGACACTTGTTCACTGCCTGCTGCTGATATCGGCATCTTTGAACTGATTTGGCAAATCAGGAAAAAAAAAAGACACTGATACAAATTTCTCTAGTTCTCCAAATTTAAGGACTAAACCAGGCCTAAATCAGGACTAAACTGAGACTAAACGAGGACTACTGCAGTCTAAAGCGGAACTCAAGTGATTTATGCAGATTTCTGGGGCACACATTTTGAGGAAGATATGATGTTGGTTCCTTAAAATATTCTTCATTTTAGTAAGTCCTGAATGAAATAGTTTATGGTTTTTGAGTCTTGACACCATATACAAAAATAATAAGAAATCAACCCATTCTTAAAATAATCAGTTTATAATCATTAATTCATAGAGTTGCCAAAAACTGTTACAGAAATTGTGGATTCATGGGTTTATATTTACAAAAATGTTTAAAGAGAGAGAGATACTTTATTGATCCTGAGGGAAATCCAAGTTTTGCTGCAGCAACATTTACATTGCACTTCTCAGTCACCTTTGTGTTTCAGTCAAAGGTCTCAGGTCAGTTTAACGGGAGGACTGGTCAGGGAGGGTCAGCAGATCTGCGTCAGGGCACTTTGAGGAGAGGAAGAGCCAAAAATGTCCCTCCTCTTTGTCCTGCAGCATCACAGCAGCCTCCAGGTGGCGCCAGGTGAACATGAAGTAAAAGGAAACCTAGTTATTACTCTGATCTTGGTTTTCATTTGATGATGAAATGGACCATTCCCTAAAAGTATTTCATCTGGAAGGTCTTCTGCCACATTTGCTGCAACATACGGATACCTAGTTTATTACACAATCCAAATCTGTACTATGTAACTTCTTCGGGGTGTCCTTTTAACATTGAGAATAGTTTTACAGCTTCTCATATTTCTCAACGATGCCAATATTAGCAGTGGGCACTATAACATACTGCTACCAGAAACATTGCTCTGGCATTGAATGTAGCCAAATATTACGGGCTATGTGACTTAGCCTTCCCCTGGTGCTCGGAGTGAATCGTGATTTACTATTTTTGTAACTGAATATTATGGTGAAGATCTAGTGCTTGAACAGTCCAATAACTATCAGTAGCCTCGTGTACGAAGATGTTACAAAACACTGCAGAAAATAATTGAAATGGGTTAAAATGACTTGAATTTAGAATATTGAGTTTTGACAACTTAAAAAATTTTGAGTTAATCTACCTACTTAGTTTTCTTAAATTAAGCGCTAGTTTCATAAAATAATTTGGAAGACTAAGAATTAATCCCCATCCTACCCTGGCAGTTACAATTTATATAAAGTTAAATTAGTAAAAATAAAGTTAAATTGGTCAAAAAATATAATAAATTCAAGTCATTTTAACCTGTGTTTTTGTAGTGTCCAATAATAATCAATAGCCTCATGTATGGAAGTTACGCACTCACTGAATTTGCATGTGCTTCACTAACACACAAAACGCTTTGGGTATTTCACGGTGCTTTGCCAAATTGTGCTTAAAATTTTACAAGTATTCAGTTTCGTATTTTAATTTCCTGAAGAATTTGTGTGTTTCGGAGGAGATATACAATTAAGAAAAAGTAAAGCGGGAATTTTAAGCACCGTGGTAAATGTTTTGTGAGTGAAATTTATAATGCATACACAGTATTCTTACTAACAAGACAAGCGCACCTATTTTACATTTAGGCAAAACACCACACAACGTACACTGCAACAAAACGACATCTACATAAGCAAAAATGACTTGAATTCAGAATAAGAATTTTGATTTGAGCTGTTGTGACTAGTTTGAGTAAATTATGATTTTTACACATACTTTTTTTTACTTATTTCACGGTATTTCAAACGCTAATTGTACATAATATTGAACAAAACATACGATTTTTGCTTTTTTATTTGTGTAGCTTTTATATTTTTTTTCAGACATTGAATTTGAATCCACAAAATGTAATGAAACCGTAAAATTTATTGTTTCAAGACCTGCAATTCCGACTGGAAGACAAAAACTGGTTCTCAACATAAAACCAAAACTTGTCCGTATCAATTATGCAAACGAAATATTCAGATTTCAAGTCATTTTATTGTGTGTAGATCTATATTTTTTGCCGTGTATAGCCTGCTTGATCACTTGCTAGCCTAAATTGAATCTTCACTGCTCAAAACAGTATTGAAAGAAGCATGAATGATGGTTATGTAATGGTAAACATAGCTCAGGTTTTAAAGATGGGAAATTAACAATGCATTCAGTATTTCCACAGGTCTAAAACATTTCAACTGAAGAGGAAATGTCTCTTTAAGCAGGTTCAAAACTGTGGTATTAGCCGCCATATTGTTTCTGTCACTATTGGCATGTGGATGGAGGATACTGCAAAAAATGAATATGTAAATGAGTTAAAATTATTTGAAATTAATAATCCGTATCTGTTTTCTCATTTTACTTGTTCAAAATTACAAACACTCAAAAGGGGCACTAAGTAACTTCTAAGGTGGAGCGTCCTCTACTTGCTTGTCTCCATGGAGATGTTATTTCTTTGCCTGGTTCCATAACAGGACATTAATATATCAACAAAATTAATATATCTCTCTTGTTTTGATGTTTTATAGCTCAAAAATACCTTAAAAACATGAATTCTTAACATTTGCAGGCTTGTTTCTCCATAGATCTGACCATTAAACTCTGTCCATTGTGTAAGTTTATTTACATATTGTGGAATAATCAATAATAATCAATAATCACTAATCAAGGCAAAAACAGTACTATCTCCATGGAAACAAGCAAGTGGTGGACCCTGAACCTGAAAAGTTACACAGTGCACATTTTAAGTTTAATGCTATGTTATTCCCATTTACAATGAATCTACACTTTTAAGTAGATTATCTTAATTTCATCAAAATTGTCTGGATTGCAAAAAAAAAATCTTACCTTGCTGGCAGAAAAATTTATTTAAACAATTTAAATAATCAAGTAAACCAATCAAAACTACTCAAATTATAACTGATATTTTCTATTAATTTTAACTCATGAGGTATTCTTTTTTGACATGGGACTGTTGCATCTTGTACAATGTTTTAATTACTTATTTTTTTTTATCTCCTTTTTCAACCTTGTGCCCAAATATAGATTGATTTACTTTCATTTTTCTAAATATTTAGTTGTATAAAATGGTTTTACTATAATGTTGTGTTGCTTTTACCACTAATGAAATATCTCTACATTTATTCCTAACCCAAACTTTCTCATCTCAAAGTCAGTGTCAAGTCTCATATATTATAAATGGATTCCTTTCGATGTTTTGTATACCACTATTTTGTATCATTTTGCCTCATATTCTTGTGATATTATTCGGTGCACAGACAATCTGCTATACACATGTCAATAAACCTGTTGAAAGTTGAAATTCTCTCTCAAACTTTTTTTTTTAATTCACACTGTGAGTTGGTAGGTTTTTAATGTACCTTTTTATGCATATTATTTTCAATTGAATCAGTAAAGTCCATCTTAGATCATAATAATTTTACATGTGCTCAAAATCACTTTACAAGTTTTGTGCATTATTCATTCACTTCAAGCTCTGTAAAACACAAATGTAGTAGACTGACAGAAGCAAGGCTATCAATCTGTGCCGATCAGCCCTTTCGACCAGCACCAACACACACCACATTCTAGGCAATGTTAGTGCAGTGTCTTGCCTAAGGACACAACAACCACTGGCGCCCCGCTGTGGCACCTAGTATTCCAGGTAATAGCCCATCCAAGTTCTAACCAAACGCAGCTCTTTTTAGCTTCAGAGATCTGATGAGATCAGGCTTTGACAAAGAGAGTTCACCTTCTTTATATTTCCCAGTTCCCTCTCGAAGCAGTAAATGAACCCAAGACTTTCTTCTTGTGAGACAAGAGAGCTACAGATTTGCTTCTCTGATATCCTGCAACAACTAGACAAAGTTGAAATACTTGTTCTTTATTGTGGTGTTTGAATATACTTTAGTCTTGATTAAGCCCTACTTCAGTGCTGGTTTGTCACATTTAGTCTTGGTTAAGTATGGACAATACATTTTGGTTGTAATATGCAAAAATGAATATTGAGCCATACATTTCATACCAGAGGTGGGGACTTGCAAGTAGTGACTCAAGTTAGACTCTTTGGACTCAACTTGGACTTTAAGGTCAATGACTTGGGACTTGAGAAGACTTGAGCAGCACTTTTAAATCTGAATTCTTTCTATTCTGACTATAATAAGTCACACTAAGATCTTGTCAAAACATTTAAAAAGGAAAAATTAACTAAATTCATTTCTACAACTCTTATATACTTTATAAATACTCATATATAAATATACCATGACTTTTTAAGTACAATATAGTTAAGTTTTACTTTAGTTAAGTCATATAAATTGCAAAAATCTAAGGTATTTTTGGTATTTTGGTTTAAAGATTTCAAATGACTGGAAGCTCAAAGCAGATGATTTGGACTTGACCTTGGCTTATGGGCCAGTGACATGAGACTCGACTTGGACTTGCCTGTATTTGACTTGGGATTTGACTCGGACTTGAGGTCAAAGACTTGAGATTTGTAAAACAACGACTTGGTCCCACCTCTGTACCATACACACTATACAAAATACAATGGAAACAGTCTTGCCTTCCACCAGCAGAGGGCGCCCCAATCCACACCACACTGCAGGAAACTACCAAACAGAATACACCTTAGTGGTGAGCTTGCTTTGAGTTGCATCATGTGTTCCTGAAATAATCAAGTGTTTTAAATGAGACGTTTTGGCAGGTCACCCTTAGGCCCATATATCTGTGATGACTGATTTCAAATGAGCAATTCTGAAAAGACATGTGTGGTCTAAAAGATCCAGTGAATATTTTAAAAACAAGAGTGGCTGTACCAAAGTCTGTACAACCACTTTTAGTTTACTTCATTTAAAGATACTCTGTACATTTTCCAATGGAGGGTCTGCCGTTTGCTTGTCTTCATCAAGATATCCCACAGTATGGCATTAAACTTATCTATATATAAAACAAATGTAGGCCAAGTTACACGTCAGATCTGTGGAGAAGCAAGCCCACTCACAGCTTTTCAAGGTATTTCTAAGCAATAAAAACACCTGTAATTCAATCACTACAAGAGATAAATTACTTTAATGCCATGCTGTGGAACATTCAGGGCAAAGCTATAATATCTCCATGAGACAAATAATTCACAGACACTCCACCAGAAAGGTTACATGTTCTACCTTTAAACTAATAAAAAAACAATAAACAATTTTGACCCAATTTGTAATACTTTAAAAGATATTCAAAGTAGACTGTTAGTATTTTAAAACGAGATATTAGGCTTATGTTTTGAATGCGGAACATTGATTAAAATGTAGTTTATAATAGGAAGCTGCAGAAACCCATATTTGACTGTTAAACTAGATTTGTTATAACCAAATAATGTCCTTGGCAATATTGTAAAAAAATATATATACAGGCTATTCTCTATCAGTATTCACATTTTTGTCAGTCACTTTTTATCAATATTCTTCTGTAATGTAGACATTCTGGTTTCAATTTGGTTAGTGTTTTGGTTTTGGTTCGAGAGCAGTCAGCTTGAATTACAGCAGAAGTCTCAGAGGAGGGATTTGTTCATTTTGATCCTGGTTAATTAACGTGAGAGTCACAAAGGGAGTAATGAGAATCTGCTTTGAAGAGCACCCTCTGCTGTTTAACACGGGCACCGCAGGCAAAAAGAAATCTACAAACCTGAGGAAAATTGCTTCAGAATGAAAGAACATGAACCTTTTTCCATTTAATTATGTTATGTTGATCCAAAAATCTAATAATTTTGATAAGATGATCTATTTAAAGACACAGAATGTAACGTTTTAGCCAAAAAAAAAGAAAATAGAAAATCTATCTTTTTTCCCCTCCTGGTCGGGTTTATTGCACTCAAAACCATGCATCCTAGTCTGAGCATGCTTGCATCTCCACAAACCTGACTCTCATTTGGCCTGGAGGAGGGCCTTTTCCTGTCTGTTTCCATGGAAATTATGTTCCTTTGGCTATAATATTCCACAATATGACATAAAACACATGGTCTATCTCCATGGAGAATGTTCTAAAGTATGGTTTAACTTTTTATTTCCATGGAATTATGCAGGTGATGTGCTACTTCTACATACTGTATTTTTAAAATATATGCTTTTATTTAACATAAAGATTAATTTGTGTATAAAGCAGTAACAGTGTGTAAGTGGTGCAGTAAAATATCATGAGTTCTGAGTGTCCTTATCTGTACAAAGCAAGATTTACTCTAGCTACAGAGTTAAAATTTTAGAATGTGAGAATTATAAAATATTTAAATTAGAAAATACATTTAAGGTCATCATATAATTCTTTTGAGTATAGTGTAGTAATGGTGTGTGAGTGCCCATGTGCCACTGCCCTTTCCATCCTCCTATTAACCACAAACACTGGGAAACTTTAATTAAGATTACGCTTAATTACTTTAAGTCTTCTCTTCTATTGCCTCCCCTTTTATTTCACTAGAGAAAATCCCAACCACCAATCCAATTAAACCCAATTTGAGGCCGTCACAAGCTGCTGTCCTCTGCACCACTCTATTGTCTTATGTGGGTAAACTTAAGCTTAATATAATAAGTTAAAGAGGGTTAGGAGTTGTAATAAGTTTCAATATTTTAAGCAGTTTATGGGGCTATGTTATCCGGTTATAGAGGTGTTTAGTGCGCAGTCTGCATAGTCCCTACCCTCCAAACTTAAAAAGAGAAGAGGAGAAAGAGAAGTATTATACGTATTCTAGCTAAATAGAGAGATTATTGCTTTACCTGTGAAGTTTCATTGTGTGGCTTTAAACACTTGTATTTATTCCATTACATTTCTTTTTATTACAGAAAAAACATGATAAACGGCATAGAAACATCCAAGGAGAAGCAATAACATATCCATGGAGACAAGGTGTTGGACCCTCCCCTAGAAAAGTTATATAGTGCAATTTTAGCCACCTAAAAAAATGAAATGTATCACAGACAGGTTTCAAATCTGTAGACAATCTTCTTAAAAGGTTCTATATTCCATCAAATCGACTCTTGAGAGCTTTAAGACATGTTATAATCTTGCTACCTCCTCAAAAACAGACCTAGAGTTGTGTTTTGTTTCACACATGTTTGAATAAACCTGCATTATTAGTCTGTCTACATCTCCAAAGCTCAAAATGCTCTGTTCCACCTTGTGATATCATGTAGCAAAGGTGGGGACTTGCAAGTTGTGACTTGGTCTCGAGTCAAAGTTGAGTCACAGTTTTTAGGACTTGAGACTTGACTTGATAAAATGGACTAAGACTTGGGACTTGACTTGGACTTGAAGGTCATTGAGGCCTGTGACTTGAGAAGACTTGATGCTTCTGCTAAAAAACTATACAGTATGTTTTTAGAAAATACTTTTCTCTTTACATTTGATACATGTGGTGTTTAATTTTACAGGAACAAACTGGGACATGTCCCTCCCACTTCTCTGTTACTTTGGAACTGAAGTACTGTGATGTGGTATCCTCAAATGTACTACAGTAATATACAGAACAATACAGTAAAACCGAGGGAACTACATAGAACATGACCCTTTCATTTCAGTGCACACTACTTGAGAAAATAACTGTTATTAAGCACTTTTAAATGACTTAAAACTAAAATCTTGTCAAGAAGGAAAAAATTGCATTTCTACAACTCCTATATAAATACTCATATATAAATATACCATGACTTTTTAAGTACAATTTGGTTTAAGGACTTGAAATGACTTGAAGCTCAAAGTAGACGACTTGGACTTGACTTGGACTTATGGACCAGTGACTCAAGACTCAACTTGGACTTGCCTGAATTCGATTTGGGACTTGACTCGGACCTGAGGTCAAAGACGTGAGACTTACTTGAGACTTGCAAAACAACGACTTGGTCCCACCTATGTCGTGTAGTGGTAGTTTTCAGTTACATTTCTGTTGTTCCATAGAAATGGCAGGTCTGAAATCATAATTGAGAGACAAACTCAGCCTAAATATGCCTGGTTTGTGTGTTAAACATGTGTGAATGAAACAAAACTCAACTCCAGATCAGAAAGTATAGTGTATAATAAAATAAGCTATACATAAAAGTCTACGGGTGCTTGAAATCGCAGATGTTGAAGTCGGTGTCTTTTTGCAGCAGTGAAATAAATAGGGCAGAGTCGTATTTTCTCGTCTCCGCTGTTGCCGTAGCGCCGGCTCAGTGTGACCAATCAGAGCCTGAGGAGGAACTGCTTTAATTCCCTTTAAATGACACTAATGAAGACCAGACCTCCTCTTGTGACTGAGAGAGGGAGGGAGAGAGAGAGAAAGGGGGAGAAAAAAGACAGGAGGGG